TATCCAAGAGGCCAAACAAGAATTTCTAAAACAGCAGTGCCAGCTTAAGGTGTCAGATTAAAAGCTTTCATCAATTTTATCTCCTCCTAAAAACTGTAACCAAAACCACAGTAAAAAGTCTATTAAAAAAAAGATATGAGTCCACTCAGCAGCAAGAAATGTACAGAAGCTGAAACAGCTGATGAACAAGAAGTTACTAATTTAACATATTCAGCAAAGCCAAATAGAAGCCTTCAGCAGAAAAGCTGAGTGCCAGCCCAGTTAACACTGCAGTCTCCTCAAAATGCTCTCAAGCTACTGAGACCGACTGGTCTTAAAACAAGAGTAAAAATGAACTCATAAGTGCAGGGATCTCTGTGCCAACAGTTGGATCTCCGCACTTGCTCCTTGCAGCCACTACAAAACACAGCATCCCTCCCAGGTGTCCCTGAAGGTGATGGAAACACTACATTCAAAACATGATTATAAAAGTGCTAAGTGCTTGGTGATATGTTTCGCTATAGCTGTGTCTCCTAGTCCTCCCTCTCTGTCAGGCGGGCAGAAGGTACAGCACACAGCAGGGACTTGTGACAAGCTTCCTGGCCCATCAGGACAACCAAGCCATCAAGGAGGAATAGCATTCTCAGTCATTTTTATCAAAGAAACTGGAAAATTAGACTGGCCAGCTCTTCTATTGCTTCTTCGAAGGACATGGAGGTGAAAAGGAGGTAATAAGCTGAAAATATCCACACCAGCCTCTTATAAATGGGTATTTATAAAGATGATTGTTTTAAAAATAGTAAAGTAGAACAGAAATACATTTAAACATTTGAAACACAAGCTGGTCAGGAGGGTAGCTTTTCTAAAAGTGAGAACGGACTTGACAGCGAATACTTTTCCAACTATTTATCCTTAAAGAGAGGAACCAAAGTGCTAGGAAGTGACAACTTACCTTAAATACTTCCATTGGAAGAGGAAACTCTGCAGCAGCAATAAGGGATTTTTCCAGAGCACACTTCCACTCAGAGGTCATCTTCAAAGGATAGATCTCTGTAGCAACAGCAAACCACAGAAGAGTTTAAGGACTACAATTTTCTGCGGGTTGGTTCTTGAATTTGATCTTTCTTTCCTTCCATAATACCCCAGCAGTCTCAGAAATCATCAGAGTTCAGACTCTCCCTGCCAGAATGGGCATCTGCTATAGGGAGTTTGAGAAATTAAAACAGCAATGTGGGATTCTACTATCAGAAATGAAGAATAAACTTAATATGGCTCTTCCTCGGGGAACATTTGTATGCATTCGGTGAGTACTCTGTAAGTAATTTAATGGTATTAATCACTTAGCAGAACCTTCAGTCATCTACAGCCCCAGATTCCATGTATCACCCAAGATGTACTACGTACTGATGAAAAACTTATTATCTGATAAGTTTCTAAACTACAAATGACTCTTGTGTAGCATCTGCAGTTATTACTGCATATTTTTCACCAAATCTCCAAGGTCTCATGTACTAAAAATAGTCCGTATAAGTCAGAAAATTATTAAAAGGTAAATTAAAATTTACCAACCAAGTTTCATATTTACACTTGCAATGCTGCTAACACACTACACGGCGTCCGTATTTTTCCCCAGGCAGTGGGAGGAGAGAGATTTATACACGGAAGTTACACAGTCTGAATGCAAAATTAAGAAGGAAAAACTGTTGAGCCCTGTTTTTACCTATTGCTGAAAGTGCAGAGGAATTTTATGTCCTGCTCTCAATAGATTTAAGACCTTATCAAAATAGGATTTGCAGAAGGACTCGCTGAGAGCAGGTATGTTTATGCCTCCACTATATCAAGCTAGGCTACTTCAGACAGACAGTTAGGGTATGAATATGAATTTAAGCACAGTTAAAAGGCAACATTAAACCTTTGAGCTATATTTTTAATTTCTTGCATGTCTGCTTTTTTAGCACAAAGTCATATATTTGGATGCTCATTGCTTCTGAACTCACCTTGAGGTTTAAGCCCCTCCATGTTAGCAGGGTTTTTAGTCACTTCAGGACATAATTAAGGTGGTTGCAAAATGCTACCAGAGCAAGCCAAGTTATCGATGCACTGCCTGCTATCACTGCTCATGACACAAAGACACACAAAGGGTGGCTTGTGATGAAATGTTCTCTGGTTGTACATACTGCCTAGAATATCCCTTTCTAGCATTTGATGCACTCTTCTACCTCTGAAGAAAAAAAAAATTCCAATTTTATATTCTATGTCAGAACAAAAATAGATGTGGATTTTCTTAGCAGTACCTAACGAGTTTGGGGGACACATAGTAGGACCTCAATAAATGAATGAATGGCTCTTTTACAGGTGAGAAGTGGAGGGAAATACTGGTCGTCATGAAGTTCCACAAACTAGGAAGGGGGCCAGTTCATGGAATCCTACAAACCGCTCCCTGAGGGTGGGAGAGATCCCCTGAAGTTGATGGCTCAATTCAAAGCCTAGTGGCAAAGCCTTCGAGGGAGGGGTGGCAACTCAAGAGGACTGCAGGGAGCAAGGGCCAGTCTACACCAAGGCAGCGGCTCAAAGAGAGACGGAAGGGGAAAAAAGCAGTGCCCAGGACATGAGGCCTCTGCAGGAAACACAAGCAAATCACTCTTCTGGCCAACAGAAAGCAGGGAGATGAGAAGCTTGATCTTGCAGGGGTAGGAAAAGGACCAACTCTTGAGAAACAACCTGGCTTGCCAAACCCAAGACCAGAGAGGAATCTGAAGCCACGAAGGGCACAACAAGAAAAAAGCTGGAACTCAGGCGTTCTACCCACTGCTCTCTTGCTCCACCATCCTAACCAGGATGATGCTCTTGACTGTGATCTCTGAGTAAGGGAAGGAGATTCTGAGACAGGGAAGAGAGTAAAAGAGTAATGATAAAAGTACTCATCTGACTCCACGCCAAAAGGAATAGAAAGCCACTGTGGCCTGGCTTAGATCCAAATTACCAGAACCCTGGGGCTGCCAGTCTCCTGACCCCAGTCTCACACACTGGCCCTGCAAAACTGGTCCAAAAGTCACTGCCACCAAGCTGGCTCTTCCATTCCATTCAATGCCCCCTCTCTCCCTTTGTGACAGAGCCAGGAGTAGTATGCACCCTGGGTTCCAGGTGATTTCTGCCTCCGTCCTACAAGCTTAAGATTCTTTGCCTTCTTTCTAACATTATGAAGCCCTATAGTGAAATCCAACCCCAAAGCAAGGCTTCCTTCTTTCCTGAAAAGGTGCAACTCAGCTGCAGATCTGTTGGCCCGCTCAGCCACCTGCAGAGGCCCCACCCCTCCGAGAAGCAAGAAGCAGAGAACAATGCCCCCTGTGTGGGCTGTGCCAGCAAGTTTATGGACAATCAGCAGCTCCATTAAAAGGACATAAAACATTTTCTTTACACGATTGTGTGGTGGGCAATTTAATAGCACACATTATCTCAATTTCTGTTTGTGAGGAAGTCACAAGCAATTAAAACATGTCTTCATTTACCTGTAACCAGAAGCCTACAAGAAAATGAAGCCATCCCCCTCTACGCACGGATCTGGGAAGCTGCTCAGTAATCAGTGTTGCACAAGGCAGGGACACAGAACATAACCATAAATAAATAAATAAATAAATAAATAAATAACCAGAAACAAGTAGAGGCCCGGAGGAGTGACTCCTTCCTTTATAAGTGCCCAACTCCTGCCACGCTTTTGTTCCTTCTTCCCCGCTAGACCTTACCAGGGAAGAGAGGACACTGCATGGTCAAGAGAGCAAAGCTAGGGAAAGTATTATAAACTGAACACTTGTGTCCTGCCCCAATTCCCACGAAGAAACTCTAAATCCCAATGTGACAGTGTCAGCAGAAGTCTCTGAAAGATGACCAGGTTAGCAGGTTGCGTGGCAGGCCCCCAAGGTGGAACTGGCATGCTAGGTCACAAAGGACAGCGAGTGCTCTCTCTCTAAGACAGAGCCAGAAGGTTCTCCAGGCCAGGAGAAAGTCCTCGCCAGAGCCTAGCCACACGCCACCGAGTTCCAGGCTCTGGAATTTGGAGAAAATCAATGTACTGTGGAAGCTAACCAGCCTATGCTGTCCTCTTAGGGCAACCCAAGCAGACAAATACTGAAAGAAACAACTCTTCCTGGAAACAGAAATGATTTAGGCAGAAAGAACTTAAGTTAGAGTCACAAACTTCCTGACTCTGGGAACTATTTAAAACTTTTTTAAAAAAATATATTTAGTACAGGGTCTCATTATGCACCTCAAACTCATAGTGATCCTCCTGCTTTCAGCCTCCCCAGCACTGGGTTACACGCCCAGTCTCCATGGCTGGCTGGAGGGGGTGGGGGGCATGCTGGTGCAGCATGTGGTTCCAGGAACTGAACCCTGGTCTCTATGCTTACCTAAGCATAAGCTTAGTCCACTGCACTATCTCACCACCACCCCCCCTTTTTTAAAGTATGTAATGACTAAGAGAAAGATTTTGAAGGGAAAAATATGAAACATGCTGGAAATGGGGGAGGGCTCAAAAAGTTTCATCTCTAGATGCTATAAGGACACATAAAAGCCTATCTTGCTTTCTGAACTTCTAGAAGATAGCAAAGTAGGGGTCTTAAATGACTTCTGACTTCAATGAGCCACTAAGACTTTTTGAAAAACCAAGGCAGAAGCAGAACACTCCAAATGAGTTTCAACCTCTAGAAAATGCCAAACGCTTGACACACCTTCTGTCACTCAGAGCCCAGCAAAGGGATGCTTATCCCCATTTTTCAGGGTTCAATGGCTTCTTCTACTTGCTCTCTTCCCAAACAACAGAATGCTCTGTCCCCTGATCGGGGCCAGACATCAAAAGAGTCAGTAACTATATACTCTCAGAAGTAGACGGTATCAAATCCACGGCCTTCTCCTAGAGCTTCTGAAGAATAACGTCGCTGCTACATCCTACTGTCTAGTTCTATTATGGCTATGGGCCCTAGATAGTTGGGAAAGGATTTGCCCTTTAAAAAGTCAAGAGGATAAGTAAAACCAGCAGAAGAATTAGAACTATTTTTAACGGCAGTGAGAGCATTAGTGGGCGTGAAGAATAAAGAGAGTTTGAGGAGGGATCGGCTCATACAGCCTTCACCTCCAAGTACACCCATAGCATCTACTATCAGCCACTACCAATAACCTTCAACTGGAATCTGTACCACCAGTTAATGCTGGATAGTTTTAACCAATTAAACAGTGTTTCAGAATAAAATTAACCTAGAACTTTCCACGTAAGTCACATTTTATTGCCACCTATATTTCAGTGAAGGAAATGGTAGTACCATGTGCTGTACAAGTCACACTGGGACATGAAATTAATTTACACAAATCTAAAGTATCAGGTTCCATTCCCATGTGTACAAACCCAGGCAGTAATTGCCTTTCTTCCCAGGGGTGCTGCTCCAACTGAAGGAGGCAAGAGAATCCCGTTTTCGTCTGGCAACTACTGAATGTAAAGGAACTAAAAGTCACATTAGGAGTGTCTTTTCACCTCTTATTTTATTCCTCCCAAATATAACCTTTCTTGCTGACAATTTCAATATTGGTGAAGTGAGCTTTCGATGCTAAATGCATCTTACAAGGGCATTAAGGGCCTGCACCAACTCTTCAATAAAACAAACAACCTGCATCCAGAAAATTTTAAGGCAAAGAAGCACAATTTATTCCTATACTAAAAAAAGCTCGAAATTACCTCAAGAAGGACAGAACTAATAAATAAGTATTTCCTAAGTTTTTAATGGGATACTTTCCCTTCTGAGACCCAGGAATCCCAGGAAAAAAAGATGACAGAGGACATAACAAGCTGCGTGAAATTACTTCCTTTGCTATAAATTTTTACAGACAAGGGTATGTTCCTCCCACAATTTATAAAGCAATTAGACACTACGCCAAGATTTATACACCCAACTTCCCACAAAGTAAATTTTCCCTGCCAGGTTGTGAACCCCAAAGAACACCCAAGCCCAGATCTCCCCTCACAACATGCCTGGGCCTTTTATTTGTCTGCATCCAGAACTGCTTGGGGTTTAAAAGGATTTCTTGGCTGCCACTCAAACTGCTGGCACCAACAACGTGAATATAATATAATACCTGCCTGTGTGTCTATCCACCTGTCCGATTTAACACAGATATAAACAAACAGCACCCAGAACCAGGAAACTCTTCTCAACTAACATCCCTGAGTGACAAAAAGGTATTCATAACCTCTCATTTTCACATACTCAAGACTAACCCTGGCGACTATAGGACAGAAATTTTTTTGCTTTTAATAAAGCAAGGCACTAAGTGCTTCCTCCAAATATACCTACAAAACTGACCAGAATGAAGATCAACAATTTCCGATAGAAGCAAGTAGCTCTTCTGTGATTTAGCATCTTTAATTTCATGAGAATTCAGAAGCTTTCCTCTGAGGATTCCCATCAAAAGGCCAGTAAAACTAGTACAGGTCAGCAATGGACACAGAACCTGCAGATCTGAACTGCAGCACCTGCTTCCTACCATCCAGAGAAGCACGAATAGAGCTGTTTGGCCTCATATTTATTTGCTATGAAGTGAAGTTCACATCAAACACATCATACTTTTTGGGAATTCAAAGAAACAACACAGCAGATGCAAAAATCTCCTAGTACATAGTAAACATCCAAGAGCAGTTATTTCATAAATACTGAGATTTTTGATTAGTTAGGTATGTCAAGATGAATGAAAACAGAGACTTTCGGATGGAGAGATGGGTTGATGTGAATGGACAGATGGGTGCAACTGGAAATAGTGGTGGGTAGGGGAGGAGTGAGAAAGAGAAGGATGCATACAGAGGGATAAAAGGACAGATGGATAGATGGGTAGGCAGAGACTGTAGAAAGTTCTTGCAAGATTACCAAAATCCCTAAGGAAAAAGAGGGAGAATATGTTCACAGCCCAGTCTATTATGTCCTTCAGCTATGAACCAGTGATTCTAAAGAACTCAATCAACTTCCCTAAGGCTTCTAACACTACTTTCTCTGTGGAGAATGCTGCTGATTAAAGTTTTGGATTTTATTCTCTCTACAAAGTATACTGAAATTAACACACTTAAAATTCACATACTCAGATGTACAAGACACCACAAAAATAAGGAATTCCCCAGAGACACGTTCAGAAAAAAATACTTGTTTTACTAAAATACACCTGTTTTACTAAAATACTTTACAGCAGCAAGATCTTTGGCCCTTACCTGAAGGAGGGTCCATTCTGTATTTATTCTCTTGACACCAACCAACTGGTCGAAGTCTGTAATCCAAGTAAAACAACCACTGGTCATAGGATTCAGTGTCCTCCAATCCCACATAGCGAAGGCGTAATCTTCCTCCAACATTTTCAATCACACTAACTATCCAGTACTGAAAAGGGTTCTGAGAATCCTGAAGTTCTATTAAGGAATCAACTGTAATGAGGTCTATAGGGCCTTTCCCTCGCAGAGGCTGTTTAAACAGAAGCAAAACTCCTTATTTTAAACTTTATTTTAAGGTTCTCACGGAAACAGATGACAGCAGAAGATAATATTTTTTTCACACCATCATCCAAGCTACTGGCAAGCAGTCCGGTGTCTCCCGCCACCCCCATCCTCTACACGCCGTTACCCACCCACCCCTGCCCTCTCCTCCCTCACACACATCCATGTACCCAACACCATACCCAACAACAAAAAAATCACACGTAAATAGAAAATAACAGTTCATGCATCACACAAATCACCCTTCCCCAGTAAACTTGCGTTTGTTAAAAAACAGTACACATTTTTAAAAAATTATATCCAAATTTGCCTGGAGCTAGAAAACATATGGTAGCAAAATGTCTACTTTTCAAACAGATACATTTAAAATAGGAAAATAAACTTCACCCAGGACTCATCAACAGACCTTCATCTTACAATGGCTACTACGCCAATATCAAGACCCTCTGTTTGACTTGGTGGCACAAGTATGATGAGATGTCCAATACAGTAAAATTTGACTACTATGTAAAGTTATTGCTACATTTAACCACTTATCCTGGTAATTGGCTTAGAAAGCACATATTTACTAACCCTCCTAAGGAATTGTCTTGGCGTATGTTAACATATGAAAAGGGTGTTTGTTCAGCCAGACTTATGGGCAAATATATTGCCATAAATTAGCATAATCAGACTATGTGTCCCCTTGAAAAGGTGAACAACCATCATTTTGGTTTGTTAACCTAACGAATAAAATAGCTGCTATTGAAATAAACAAAACTGTCACAAAACAAAAGCTGTTTAAGTGACTGTCAGCTGGTGGTACTCTTAAGTATCAATACTATTTTTGAGAAAGTGAAAAAATATTTACACCATCAAAATCTGCACCTTATTCCCAATTGTTCATTAATTTTTTCATTTTCAGAGACAACCTTAAGACAGATTTGATAACTCTTAATACTTAACACTTAGTCATCGCCTCCTCAAAGTTATTCTGCAGGATTTTGTTCACATTTACTACTACAGGAGATAGGCGTCAATGTACACGACAATGGGAACACATCCTTTCATAGAATTTTACGATGCATCCACATAGAGCACAACTTCCACTTCCTGACCAGGGAAGATCTGTCAGTGACATTCAAATCTTTTCAACTAAGTAATTCATTACAAAATAGGAATACTCAGGCTACTCAAATAAAGATATTGTGTGTACGCGTGTATCTGCAGAAGGATATATGCAAAGGTGCCGTTAGGTCTGAGTTCACGGGGCAAGGATGCTTCAGAGATATAAGAGATGCATAATAACAATACATACACCTTCCAGTAGGTTGGCAGGCGCTGTCCGAGAGCCAGTCAAATCACGTATGAGGAACTCTGTCCAGTCTGTGTACTTCTCTTTGATTGCTGGCAAGATAAGGGAGGAAAAGAAAAACATTTCAAGACGTCAGTAAAATATTAAATAAATTTAAATTCATTGCCTTTTTCTGTATGTTGGTGTAATTTCAGCACTTTTCTTAATCTTAAACTCCGGGCTTAAATCAATAGTACTATAGTTGGGACAACAAACCTGTTCAACAGGTTGGGACTATACACCCACCAAGGGCTTAGGCACTTAGAAGATCAGAGTGTCTGGGGTCCTGAGGTTTGACAGCCTATTTACCAACTCCCGGGAACAACAAAGCAGATATTCCAAAGCATATAAATGGGGAGATTCTGAGAAAAAAAAAAGATCAATGAGGGACTGAGAAATCAGAGAAAATTTTCAGTGGGAAAATAAAAGCAGACCTTCAATTATATAAAAGATTTGCACAGTAGGGAAAAAAGAAAGGTTTTCTTTTCAGGGTGAGAGAACCCAGTGCATGCTAATCAGAGTGAAGAGAGATGGAGAAAGAAAAGAATCAGCAAGACTGTGGTGAAGCTTAAGCAGGCAGCCCTGGAAAACAATGCTGGATGGACAGCTCAGAAGGTAGACAAAGATATTTAATAGAAGAGATCCCTGCATATAACGAGCCTGGCAGTACTGTAAAGGCTTAAACGGTAACAAAACAACTGAAAAGCAGGCATTGTAGTTAGTAAGTACTATAGTAGCAGGGCCTACAAGTGGGAGTCCAGCACTGTGAACAGAAGCAATGAACTTGAGCATCTTTTGGGGGAAAAAAAAAAAAAACAACCTATCAGGCCCTTGAGACCAACACCCTACACACGCTTAGGCCCCAAGACCTAAGAACTATGTCCTTTCTTGACAATTCTCCTAAGTTACAGGTCTTCAAAGCCCTAGCAAAAAATAAGCCATGCTCCTGAGGGTCTGAGACTTTCCGGGGAGCTCAGACAGTGCTCCCTGTCAGTCAGAGAAGTACACTTGCTCCGGACTCCAGCGTACACTGGGGTCCTCACCTTCCCTCCACAAGGAGAGCCAAGAAGCAGCAGGTGAGCGGCCTGAGACAGCCGCACAAAGACAAAGGGCTGCTGGAAATTCCAACTGAGGACAAATGCACAACTGTCCCTGATAAATACACGTTCTGAATCCCATGCCGAAAGTACAGGTCAAGCAGTAAGTGGCCCTACATTTGACAGGACTTAGGTCTACATTCAGTCTGAGGAAATTTCCTCTTGAAGATTGCTGTCAAATATGTCCACAATTCAAATTAATATTTAAACAAAATATCAAGCACCCTAAAAGACACAGTGCAATGCTGATATCTAAATGGTCAGATTCCTAGCAAAAGAGCACTGGAGATGGCCCTGAAATTCACATGGTGTGAAGCCCTGAGTTCCAGAGCTCCTATGACTTTCCCTTAATATGCTTCTGCACAAGACTCTGAAACAATCTTTTATGCGCCAGAAAACATCTAGATAAACTGTTCTCCAGGATGTTATCTATAACACCATAAAAGTACCCAAACCATTTTAGGTTAAAAAATAGAGATGAAACAATTCACAGAAATGTTGCTACTTTCAAACACTATTTCAGTCAACATTTGTTTCTCAAAACTCTATATCTTCAAACTACAAAAACAAAAAAATCTATTAAAATAACTATGGCCAGGCCAGGGAGATAGCTCAGTAGAATAAGCACTTGCCTGACAAGCTCAAGGGCCTGAGTTCAATCCTCAGTGCCCCCCCAAAAAAAAAAATTGGAGGCCAGGGACATGGCTCAGTAGAATAAGCACTTGCCTGACAAGTTCAAGGGCCTGAGTTTCAACTCCCAGTTCCGCCAAATAAATTTATAAATTAATTAATTCATTAATTAAATATGGCCATAAAATTAAAACTGAGTATAGCAAATGTAGAAATAAAATTCTAGTACAATGAAAGTTTGCCTGGGAATTCTTCAGAAATCTCTGCAATAGAATTTAATTGGCATTGTCCATGTGTCCATTTAAACTTTTGAAGGGAAAACTTAAAACTACAAATTTCTACTCTGTAGCACATCTCTCTTCAAAGATTCAGAATCAAAAGTTTGTGAAGCTAAGAACAATCTGGCTTCAATATAAGCCAAATCTTCACCTCACGGTCACTACATTAAATGCCAGAAAACCCATACTGCCCTGCACTTAACTACAGCACCAAGACAAGCTCTCAAGCAGGAAAGAAATTACTGGGGGAGGAGGGTCTAAAATTTCAAGTGAAGGATTGTTTATCTACAACTTAGCAATCACTGTCTCATATTTTCAATTTATAGAGACATTCTTAGAAATTCCCAAGAGGCATGGTATCAAGATATCTTTCAACATTCTCAGGGACATTTTTCAAAGTTCTATTCAGTTCGATAAGCATGTAACTCTGTTTTTTAAGAGCCCAAATTCTATTCTAACAATGCCTAATTTGTGGGAGAAACCCACACTATATTGAAGGAGGTAATCATAACCTTGAGGTCCAGAAAAGCAAACAAATGTGTGTTTTTGTGAGGACATTTAGAGATGGCTACAAATCCCACAATAGCTTTATTAGGATTAGAAAGCTATAGGAAAAAAAAAAAAAAAAAAGACCCTCAAATTACAGACAGAAGATTACTATCATTTTTCAGAATTTGGAAAAGCACCACTGAAGTTGTCCACAATGTTTCAAGTGATATCAACATATGGAGTCCGGTGACATGCCACCCACCTTTCAGTGACATTATCTTCTACAGAAACTGCCCTATAGTACAGAGCTCTCTGGCCTGCCCATTCAAGCAAATCATGAACAGTGAGCTCATGCTGGGGTCACTGAACAAATGGCAATGGCCCATGTTCCCCAACTCCTGGACAAGTCCTCAGGAACAAAGACCCCCAACCACCTAATGCTTTTCCACTCCTCTGGAAGATGAAAGAAGAGTTACAATGAAGAGAAAGCTCATTTTCACTGGGACAAAATCTTCTAAAGTAAATACAGGGGATTTTCTGTTGCTCTTTTGTTGAGGCCATTTTCTCAAGTTACTTTTCCAGCAATCCTTCTTGGAAAGTATCTCGTGGGTACTGCTTGCCAAGGTTCTTTCTAGCTCTCTTGTGGCTCCTTCCTTCCAGGGTTTTGTTCAAAGCCTCTCATGCTGAAGGAGGTCTTCCTCCTCTCCCATTCCCTAGCTCAGCTTTGATTCCTCAGTGTGGCTCCAACCTGCTCTCTCTCATACCAAAGACTTTTTTGGGACATCAGGCAGTCCCTGGTCTTAAATCTGGAACACAGGCTTTTAACTCTGAGAGTGGATATTGGGTGGCCTCCCTTCTCGGAGATTAACTTGCAAGCCATCATCAGTGTCTCCCTGGAGAGCCTCCCAGGTTCTTCAGAAATCAGCCTGAGGGACAAACACCTGCTCTAGACCTTAGTGGTTCCACGAGGTGAAGGTGATGGCATGGATGGAGAATGTGAAGTGTTTTGACCTTGGACATCAGCCCACACGGGTCCCTCCCCCACCTGGTTCTCTCCCCCACTTGGCATTCAAAGGCACAAGCCTCCCTGAGGAGGAGTCCCTGAGCTGCAGCACACAAACATTATCTGGGCTGCAGTTACCCCCACAATCATTCAAGAAATACCACACCTTTATCAGCTATCATGCTGCCAAAAATGTTTTGAAATTTCCTTTCCATGTTGAATTCCCTTCAATTCTTTTATGTTGTTGGTCTATGTATTTTTGATTCTTTTACTAGCACTGTAATAAGCTCTCCAGAGGAAAAGAAGATAAATAATGGTACTCAATCCACTGAAATGCCTCCTGGAAACCAGGAGAACCTGACTTTTACAGTGTGATGTTAAGGAGCGGCCTTTGACTTGTCAGAAAAGAATTTTTTTTTAACTCTGATTTAGCTAAAAAAAAAAAAAAAAAAGGAAGACACAACAGTAGCTCTTCAATTATAAATAGAAGCACTTACTCCTACTACAGTATTAAGAAGACTACAGAGCTCTTTCCTATGGAGAATTTCAAAGGAGAATCTGCATTAATTTTTCATATTGGGCTCAAATTATATTGTTCCTATGAAAAGGAGGCTAGACCATAAAATGGTTCAAGAGGACAGAGACGCTCCCACTATGCACAAAGGACCTCATAATATACAGCTGATATTGAAACAGACAGAAAAAGTATTCTTGCCTTTAATAATAAATACAATCCAGATGAAGACAGAACTAATGCAAAACATCACATAAATTGTACACGCTCATTAGTACATATTGTATATAGATTGCTGGAGGAAAAGATTCAAGATTCTGTTCGTTGTATAAATACACTTGTATGATTACAAAAAGGAACAGTAACATTTTGTTTCGAAAGGAATTGTGCTTAAAAGGGGAAGTATCGGTCAAGCAATGGCTGTGACTCATCCACATGGCTGACACTGACAAAGGATCTGCAAACTGTGGTACAGGGTTACAGGATAAATCCTGAGGGTACTTGACTGACCTTATCAGAGACAAAAGTTACATTTCTTGTTATATAAGTCTTACTTTATCTTGGTCTTAACCATACAGCAGAAAAGTATAAAAATGAGGTATATAAAGTAAAGCCATATTAATATGCTGAGCTGTGAAAGGCTCAAGTCAACAACTTCTGCAGATAACCCACAACTATTGCGGACTGCTGGACTCTGTTGGATTGTTTTGCTCATTTCACTCACCTATAGTGCTTAGATGCCAATGGAATACCCATCTCTGACAGGACTAAAAAAATCAAGAGATACAAAGGAAGGACCATTTTGTATCTGTATATACAAAATAGGATAGATATACAGCTATTTTCACTTAATTCAATGAGAAGAAAGATTTGTAATAATAGTGTTTGGACAGGATATCCTGCCTGCTTCTTGTACTATGGTAACCACTAAGAAGATAACAATGTATAATGTATTAATTATTGAAACTGTCCTATTAATCAGCTTTGAAACTGTCTCATTGATATTTGTTTCTCAATAAAATAAAATTAAATTAAATTTTAA